CAAGGAGAGATATATCCCCATCGGTTTATGTCTACTAATCAAAATGATAACATTTAGAAGTGTGTTATGGACCAAGAAATTGATTAAAGCTGATCCAAGAACATTTTGAAAATGTTTTTGGGGGCATGGCCGTAGGTGGTTCATCTGTGAAGATGAACAGTTTCTAGGATTTTGATCCTAGTCAAAACATTGGGAAAATACTGTGTGCAACAAAGTCATCATAATCTTGATCCTGCTCGCTGTATATACGGCGGCACCTCTCAAGTACTGCTTCATTATTTGAAAGAATAGGCCCGAAAGAAAAATACAAAAATCACCACCCAAATGCCACTTTGTGATAGCTGACAGACGTTTTAGTTTGATGCAGAAACATTGATTTCCTTCAATTTTGGAAGAAACAGATTTAGTAAGATACATGGATCTGCGATTGATTGGCAACAAGTTCAGGGTGGTCCCAGCCTACTGCCCAAAGACAGCTGGGATAGGCTCCAGCATAGCCACGACCCTCGTGAGGATAAGCAGGTTAGAAAATGGATGGATGCGTATGTAAATGTAAAGCCACGTTCAACATACCACCACCCTGCCCAACATACTTGCCAACAAAACGACATTTGATCAGCAGCACACAATACATGCGGTCCACATGACATTCCTGAGCTGTTGTGCTGCGGTGGCAATTTGCTTGGCTTGTCCCTTCTCCGGCGGTCCCTCCCTTGACCTTCATGCCCAGATCCTCCACCAGCGATGCCGTCAGGCAGCCACAGACGGCATGCAAGGAGGATCCCATCTCGGAATGCCGCTGCTCAACTGTGCCACCAATCCACAATTGCTGTCTATTCCAGACGCAATTCTATTTTTTTTTTTTTTTTTTTTTTAAGATTCAAGCTAGAAGCGAATACGTTGCTTTATTTATGTAGAAGGGTTATCGCTTACATTTTGGATTTCAAGCCCACTTTCTTGATTGCAAGTGTCTCCTGGCATGTAGAAAGAAAGATCTATATCTCAACTGTGGGACTAAATGTCAAATTTAATCCTCATCAAAACGTTGAGTTTCTGGAGTAGTCCCGGCCCTCTTAACACACCCAACAGCTAGACATATAAAAAAAAAAAAACATTTGAACATCCCACGAAGATGTCAAATCTCAAGGGCCCACAAAAACGAATTGGCAGAGCAGGAAGGTGCGGATACGTGTCTCGAACGTAAACTATAAATCGAATGTGAAATCACTTTCACGAGGGATTTGTTTGACATAATCGCACCATCATATTAACCTCGCTCATGTAACTAAATCCATGGTATTAAAATGCCTGCACGCCAGCAAACGACATCATAAACGCTGTTGAAGTGAGACCTCTTCGTATGCCAATGTTAACAGGGCATGATTATCTTTGTAAAAGAATAAATTTAATTGGGTACATCTCCATGACGAACCTGATAAAAATCTACAGAAACCTCAGCCCACACGATGAGTTCGAGCTCTGTTCATCTCCCACATGATCCTCCATCCAGCACTCGCCTACATCCTTTGAATTGGGACAACACAGTACGTTTCGGCACCACTCCGGCCACCTCTGTATCACAAGATTTCAGTTCAAACAACTTTGGCTAATCAGATGGAAAGCTCATGAGACCGGGCTGAGCGCTAACCGTTCTCTAATGTGACAAAATCCGAGCGAATGAGATTTGGAGCCATCCAAACTTTTGGATGGCTCCATTGTAGCTTCCGCAGGAGTAGCAATGCAAACATTTGTGTTGCAAAAAAGTCACCACCTGAATTAGAAAATGAGTTAAGCCAGCAGTGTATGTGATGGATTGAAGTTCAATATTTGCGCCCCCTAAATCTACAGAATGTTATTCTGACGACCCATTTGGGGTCCTCACCTTACATTTGGGAAAGTCTGTTTGGTGGACATCATACCTCAACTTATTTAATGCAACGATAGTCAACATTTTGTTGCATTGTGCATCACACTGTTCATTTACATACACACAAACAAACTTGTTTAAAACAACCCATGGCTTAAAATGCGAGACATAGCAGTACATAGGGAAAAGGTTTGTCTACCAAGTCAATTCATCGGTCTGACCACAAATATCTCATTCAGAGCAAACAAAACGGGCTCCAACCGAGCACAGATCTTATTATGCCGAGTGATGCTTCTGAGACGCCAACGAACACAGCTTTCGTGTTGAAGAGTAAACAAGCAGAGTCTTTGTGCACACTTGTGCGCATCCCACTGCAGCCCTGAATATGTTGCAGTATAGCATGCTTTGCTCTACTAATAGTTTAGTGCGGTCAACGTTGCTCCTGCTCTTGCATAACTGCAGAGGGGATTACAGGGCGAAAGTGTCTTGGGTTTAGCGGATGTGGGTTGAGGGCAGACTGAAACACCTGGATAATGTTGACAGTCAACGACACCTAGTGAGAGTTGACTCAGCAGCGATGACGCCATTTCAAAGGAACCTTGCAGTGACAGGAGACGGCAAGCACTCACCGTGGTTGAACATCGCCGAGCGAAGGCGGTTGCGGCCGGACGAGTACTCCATCGCGTCAACTTTCACTTCAACCTGCTTCTCTCCCGCTTTTTACTCTCTTTTTTTTCGTCTCTCTTCGTCGTCCTTCTCCCTCGTTCCCAACACAAACCGTAAAGAGCTTGACACTTGTCGTGTCCGACCAGACAAACCCGTCCTTTCCGTGTCTCCGTGTTTGTGCGTGCGTCAAGTCGCGACTGACTTGCTCGCTCGCCTTCTGCCGGGCTAGTGACGTCACAGGGCGCAGGCGCTCGCCGCAGCTGCGTCGGAATGAAAACAATCGCACGTGCACGCGATGTGTGAAGAGTCAAGTGCATATAGATACACACACACACACACACACACACACACACACACGCACACACACACACACACACGCGCACACTGTATACACGAATAGCTGGTACAGTACAGTATACTGAATCTGCAAAGATTTTCTTTGGTTGGTTGGCTTTCTGAGACGCTGATTACAACATTGTCGATTAATATTAAGATTACATCCTCACCGTCGACACCGCTGATTACAACTCATTATTGTTTATGATATAATTAATTTTAACATTGCTCATGGGTTCTTATTCTTATAAGTGTTCACTTTTTTACTTTCACATGTAATTGAATTAATTGATTTAGTGATTGAACTAAATTTACCTCATCTGTAAAAGACCTGGCCCATCTGGGGGGGAACAAACATCAATCGTGGCCGTTGTGCACAAGTTTACAAAAGGACGATTAGTTCGATTAAATGCCTATAACCTTGATACATTTCAATCAAGGGACTCCAAGAAGGTGTTAACTTATAGTGCAAGGAAAAATGGTACCGTCAAGAGCACCCGCTGTCGATAATAAAACACCACAATTCATGACATAAGCGCAACAAATTAGGCTTTTCGATAGTGACACCTTGAGGTTGAAGTGAAGTACGACCGTTCTGTGGTGTTTTTCTTCCCCGACTTGGCTACAAAGTGAATTCACTAATTTAACTGTACATTGTGCGTTGACCTGCCCAAAGTCAATTGGGATAGGCCCCATCTCACCCGTGCCCAGATTGGAAAAGTTGTATAAAACATTAATAGACGGTCATTGTTAACCATTATTATATTATACTGTGTAACGTAGGCATCTTTGATGTCAATTATAAATGAACACTGACTGGTTTATGGAGCAACAGTTTTATTTTCAGCCCAGACAAAAAAAAAAAAAAGTAAAAAGAAAAAAAAAACACTCGTCTCCTCAAGAGTACGAATGTTCACGTTTAGGATTTAAAGTGCAGAATTGTTTTCACAGCTTGTGTAAAACTTAAATAAGACAACAAAATAACTAGAATATTAAAATATGAAAACAAAGAGCGAAGCTCAGGAAAATACAAATATCAGCAAGGACAAGAAGAAAATCTTATACAAACAGTACAAGCAATGATATTCAGTACACTGAAATCATGCTTGCGCGTACGATACAAAAAAAAATCAGGAAATCGGGTCATTTTTCAAGTCGTTGGCAAGGCTAGCTTACAACAAAGGCACAGCATTGATCAGAGGTATTGATCCTTTGCAAAGAAGTGCTGCGGCAACATTCTAATTGATCATCACATCGTCCCCACTGAGACATCAACATGCTCACATGGCTCACACAGGAAATACAGATAAGAACATGTACACTTGTAACACATCACCGCGGAGGTCTGCTCTGAATAAGCAATTTTGAATAGCAGGCTCTATAGTGATGACATGCTCTTTACGTAGACTGTTACTGTGTTCTGCATTGACTTCATGGTGAAGGAAAACCAGGAAACAACAGCCCTGAGCCAAAGGGGAGTAATGAAGAGGCGGAAGTTAAGTTCTGCTTTGGGCAAAAGACTAGCGGTCAGTGTTTGCAGCCAAGCCATCAGACATCACACACAACATGGTTGACAAAAGGACCACTGAGCAAGGCAGCAAGCAGAGTGGGGACACCACATCCTCAAGAGAAGCTAACACAGGAAAACTCGATCCTCAGGAGCTTTCAAACTGGACATGCTCTGAAACCGAAATTGTAAACTAAATTGTCCCCATAGTTGATGTTCAATCAAAGAGGAGCATGGAACGCGTAAAATACGACATCATTTTACGAATCGAGACCAGTTTGATTGCGAGAGGATGGATTTTCCTGAATGTCATATTTTGAAAGGCTCAACCAGTGTCTTGCATCATGAAATCAACCTGAACCAACATTATTTCCTTCATATCACAAGTAGCCCAAAAGAAGGAGATAAAAAGAAACATGGCTTAAACTAGCCATTTTGGTTAATATAGTGCAAATGAAAATCTATACAAAAGATTTCAGTGGTTTTCATATGTAAAACAGATGCTGTTTTGTTTACTATCTTATTTAAAAATGTTATTTAACATCACAATATTCAGGCTTCAAAGGCAAACCAACTATAGCAATTGTACCATGCAGCTTGTGTGAACAGAAGCCGGAAATCAACTTTTTTTTTAGTTTACAGCCAAGAGATTTGAAAAGGTGCAAGTGAGACATTTTGTGGAAACAATCATTTCCAAGGCGGTGCCAATGTATACATTTCGGCCATGGACACAGACAGACGGATGAAAAAAAGACACGCGGTATAAAGTGATATCTACAGACAGATTGGACATGTAAACATACAGCAGGTGTACACAGGAAGCCAGGATGTGGTACTATTAAGATGAACAATACGAAGATATACCGTCAACCGTATCGGCCTACATGGCTACTTTAGCGTTTCAGAATTTGAAAAGTGTTTTAATCCACTTCCAAATAGGAAGGTAAAAAGCTTCAATGCACGGAACTGTCGAAACAGAAAACGGATTACACAATTAGCACCGCATGAGATCAAATGGAGGGAGATGCAGGAACAACTAATGATCTATCAAATGGTGATCCCCATAAACTCCAGTCAAAACCGTTCAATCTCCGTAGTTTTGAGTCAAGCCAGCCAATAAAAATAGAGCAATGATGCAAATACGTATAGAAAATATGTCTTTACATTTACAATATTTAACACATTTACAATGTCGCCACCTATGTACACTAGTGCACATTGGAATATTGAAGATGCCACGTTAGCCGTGAGGAGGAGATGCGAAAGACTATAAACACAATTTCGCCACAACCGTGTGTGTGTGTGTGTGTGTGTGTGTGTGTGTGTGTGCGTGCGCGACCACCTCACAGTTGAATCAGTGCTACACAATGAGCGTTAACAGTTTTGGGACATGATGAGTAAGAATGAAACCAAAATGTTTCGGCTTGCACTCTCTAGTCGACGACAGAGAACATGTGAAATGCAGCTCGATTCGTACACGTTTTGTGACAACCGGGACACTCTGCTAAGTCACGGTAGCACTTGCAAAACAGGTGCACAATATTTTCTATCGAGTTCCAAACAGAACCTGTTCTATGACTTATCGTTTAGCTGTTTCAGCCACATAAATATATTATGGAGTAACGGCAAAGGTAAAATCTACCTTATACGGGAGTGGCATACTGATCTGAATGTGGATGCTGATGGCGTACGTCATGCTCTAACTTAAGCATCATGTGCAGCAGAGAATCCAGCTGTCAAGAGTGACAGTCTCGAGACTGGACATAAGACTATGTGCACTCCATTTGAAAAAAGTGGCTTTTCCGATGCACGTTCGTCCTCCTGAGTCTACTTGCTAGGCCTGAGCCAAGCCGCATGTTTTGCATCCGCTCGGGGGGGGCATAGAGAGAGTTACATTGCATGATTGGGTCACTTGGACCCTTCCTCCTGTCCAGTCCAGTCTTATTCCTGCTGTTCGGGGTGAACGTGCAGGCCGTTTTCGGCCCGAGTGATGTTGTTTTTCTCCCAGAAGGCCTTGTGCAGCTGTTCCGTTTCAGACACGAGTGGCAGGCCCATGTCCAAGTGCATCTTCAGGTTCTCCAACCATCCCTCCAGTTTGGAGAAAGCCGGGCTACAGATGAAGAAGAAACAGTCAGCTTTCAAACTCAAAGACATATCTCGTAAAAAAAGGACACCGGACCCAAAACGAAATCTTGTCTGTTAAAGCGAGTTCCCTAAAGTTAATGACTGTGTCTCATTACGAGCCGAACTTTTCCCACCCCTGCTCGACTGAGTGTCATTGTACTCGTTGTTTGATAAAACATTGGCAGCACTAAACAAGAACACAATTGTGTTATCAAACGGCTTAAGGGAGATGTATTGGGTTCCAACTTGTGCCGGTGGATAACCCGAATGCGACGCGTCAAGTGAGGAAGGCATCTCATTTTGGGTGGATTGTCCTTATTACATGTGATATCTGACCGTTTATCAGCATCAAGGTCACAGCACACAGCGGCAATGGGGAAGAAGGCCGTGGGACAATCGGGGGGACAGTAGTGCTCTAGGAAGCCCGACACATTCAGTCCAAAGTCCACCGCCCTGGGGAGGTAGTCTGGGTCAGCATTGACCCTGCCGATGATCTGAAAGAACACACAAAAACAAGAGTGAGCAGAAAAGAAGGAATTCTGCCCTTTTGCAACTGAGATCAAATAAAACCTCCAGACCAAAGCTACAGACTACAGTTGCATTTTGCCTTACTGGCAGTAACCGCAGGAGTCGACTTTTAGCCTGCTCCATTCCCAATGCAATAGTGTCCTCTCTGGAAAAGTCATTTTCTGGCCTCTTTGAACAAATTAGGATAATGGGAGTGTGGCCAGGGATAAAAACCACCAGTTGCATCACCAGTGGATAGTTTTCAGTTCTTTGGAACTTTTGGTTTCCTCAAACATGACTGACGAGTGAACAAATAAGCTGTGGCTACATTCCACGAGGTTGCTCAAATTATCGGGACAGCATTTTGCACTCCTTGTTTGATGTGGCTATTTAAATGTGAATGACACACTGGAACTATGAGCGGAGTGAGGCAAAAAAAAAAACAAAAAAACAAGCCGAGGTTTGATGAATTTCGATATGGCACCGTGACTTTGCTTGTCCTACATGTTGTTGGACAGAGTTTGTGGAGAACAACTTCCGTGTGAGCCTGAACAGCTCGGTAAAAAAATGGATGGTTGGACAATTGTTTGTGCCTCTAAGAGATTTATATAGGAACATTTATCTTTAGAAATCGTATCCCCGACCTGTATGAAAATGAAACGCATATAAGAATCGCATCCCCTGCTCTTCATGCAGAGTTTTCCCACAATACAACAATGACGTCCTGGAGGATGACTCACCTCGCAGAGCATAATACCGAATGAGAAGATGTCCACCCTTTCATCGTAACTCTTTCCTGGGAAGGCAAAAGAACAAAAACAGATTGAAGTTCAAAGTGATGAACCAACGTGTATTTTTACACAAAAAGAAGTCAATAATCAAAAGGTCTGCCTCAATAAGATGCATACAAGTTTCTCCTCATTCTTACCATGGATCATTTCGGGAGCCATCCAGTAAGGGTTCCCCACCACCGTGTACCTCTTCCTCCGATCGGGTCTCTTCAGACCCGACAGTTTCCCCTGCGAAAACTTCTCTTCGTGTTTATCGTCCACCATGAGGCGCGCCAATCCAAAGTCTGCCACCACCACTGTATTGTTCTTCACAAACACACACAAGATGTCCGCTATTCAGTATTCGTTGCCGTTGGAGGTTTAGAATAAAATCAAGGAATATTTCGGAGAGAGCAGCACATTAAAGCGCAACCTGCTGCTTGAGATTTCACTTCTCTCTGATGGCGCTAAACCTTAACAGTGCATTCTAGGAAGTGCAGCGCAGCTTTAGTGAAAACTTTGCCTTGTTTTAGCAAGTGGCAGATCCACTGTGTTGATTAGGCAAAGAAAAGACGTCCTTGAAAACAAAGAGTTCGTACCTCCCGGACAAGACAGTTGTGAGAGTTCAGGTCTCGATGGATGATGTTCATGGAATGCAGATATGACTACAACGACAGACAAGAAAACAAACGTTTGCAGTGTTAGTAAAAATAATTCGAGAAATAATAAGAATAGCAAGGGAACAAAAGTGCCTTGTTTCACTTCGAGGGGCCAACATTGTGACAGCAGTAATTCCGAGTCATGCGTGACTTTGATCATTGTGCTAAATGGCAAGCCAAATACACGACAAACAATGAACTAATCCGGTTGGAATTTGTGAACTGTTGACAAGCTTGTTCAACTCACCATCCCAGCGGTGATGTCCTTGGCAAAACCGACCCTCTGGTTCCAAGGGTAGTTGCTATCCTGGGAGAAGAAATTCACTGTCAGATGATACAGATCAAGCTCGATCCTGAAAAATGATTTGGACATTTCCCTCTCCAAACACAGGAATTCCTCTCACCATTTTCTTGATGATTTCCCTCAAGGTGCCGCCCTTGATATACTCTGCGATGAAGTTCAGTCGCTTGTCTTTGTAGAGGACGCCAATGAATTTAAGCACATTGGGGTGATCCAAGCAACGCATGACCTTCACCTGATGAGACATTCACATGACAATTTTATGACTTTAACGTCAACAGCTGGCCAGATTAAAGTAAGGAGTTTGAGACTTCACGGGTGCGTCCTAAACTACTGTTACAAGAATTGAATAGAAACTTCTTGTTGTGTGTCAGAATGAGAGAAGCTTGCCAGAATCGCTTTCATCTGCACCACCTCTACAGCTTGCCTGGGATTGAACGTGTGGAGTCTGAAAAGACGTATAAATATGTCTTTGGGAGTGAATGGGTCAGCTTTATAGAGGCTGAAAAATGGAGCAATTTTAGTGTCTTTTAAATCAGTATTACACTTTTTCATTTGTATTTAACGCCTTCACATTTGTAGCTGCACATGAATAATCCAAAAATGACTGCATAGAGGATGCATAAAAGATCTGGTTCCATTCATGAAGGTCAACATCAGTGTCTGTAAGTTGCTTGTTAGCCTCTAGGTGGCACTAGTATCTTTGGTCTGTCGCCAATGAAGCATTGTGCTGACACCGCATTGAGCAGCCTACTTCCTCCACGTCAACCACTTCAGGACATTATTCTAGGAAGTTCACTCCCCTGTTTGGCACTGAAGCATCACTGTGGCCGCCACCTACTGTCATCACGGCGGCTGGGCCGAATCGCCAAGCACCTTTAAGGTCATTCTCTCGTAGAAAAACCCAATTCACTTGACCCGCCTTTATACGCTGATGACAATTTTGCACAAAGGCGTTCCTTTTACACCCAGAGGCGAAGACAAACGTCATCACATGTAGTCTACATGGTGAACTAAAGAGGGCGTAAACATCGGCTCACCTCTTTCAGGAATGTTCTTTGCGTTTCATCATCGAAGCGAATCAGCTCTTTCATGACCATCACCTCTCCGGTCTCCCTGTGGGTCACCTACAAGAGGAGAGATGGGCCAAGTGAAGCCTCATGAACCAACCATGAACCAACTCTGTACACACTTTGCTGCAACTAAACAGAATGAATCTCAACTGTGTGACTGACGATATATGGACGTTCTCTCTCCGCACAGCCCCCGAACGAGACGTCAGTTTCCCCTGGTCTGGTGACAATAACGCCATTGACACGCGTCTCGAAACGAGACTTCATTTTCCACGCCCACTTTTACTCGACACAAGCTTTGAAGCTCCGTTTTTTTTTGTTTTTTTTTTTGGGCCCTTCACTAGTTAAGAGCAACTGGAGTTAATCCTCGGCATAGGGCAATCCTTCCATTTTCTACATCGCTTCTGGAATTTGAGGATATGAGTACAAAACGCACCATCTCTCAAAAACAGTATACGGCGTACTCCATTTAAATGTTAATAGCATCGACTGTACCTTGATGGCCTGTCCGAAGCAGCCCTTCCCAAGCACTTCTCCGTGGATGAGGTCAGATGGACGGAAGATGCGGTGCGTCCGGTTGGAGACGACTCGAAGTGACTCCGAGCGGTTGATGTCTTTCTTCGGCGACACGGGGGACGCAGCTTTGCTGGAGCCTGGCGACTTATCAATGCTGTAGCTCCGCCTGGAGAATTTCATTTTGGGATGGTTACTTGTTCACTAAGCAGAAACAGCATTCAGCGTGAGTTAATGAGAGTTGACATAAAAGATGTATTGAAAATTCTGTCTCAAATAATGTACAAAAGACAGTTTTTCAGTATGTTTATTATGGCTTTAGTGTCCGGTTCTAGATTTTTTTTTTTTTTTAATTTCAACTAACACAAAGCATTACAGTAAATCTTTTTTAAAGTAAGAACTAATGATACGGCATTGTATAATTAATATTGAGCAGCTTAAAGAGTCCGTTAGCATTTAAATGACTGGTGTAAACAAACAAAACTGGAAATCTAGTTCAATAGTTTTTACACCAATGTTGCCCATTAGTCATCTACTGTATCTACAAATAAGAAAATAAAGCATCTTACGTGACAAGGCGTGATTTCAGGTTGCTCACGTCAGGGATTGGAGATTGGGTGATCGGCAGGATGGGCAAGATGGGGCTGGGCAGCGCAGGAAGCGGAGGGGACAACGGGCCATCCACCTGCTCTGAAGAGCTCCCCTCTTGCACCCGACTGTGAGGGTCGTGCTCGATGGTGAGCTGGAGCAAACGACTCGTCTCCTGAATGAGCAGGTCGATCTGAGAAAGCGCACACTGAAAGGTCAGTTTAACATGGCAGTACAAGCAATTGCGGATTGGTGAAGAAATGGTCATGCAATATGTTTACAGTTAGTCCTTGGTATATGTCCGCTAACTTTTATTGTGGTGTTATGTATTGACCGCAACCACAGTCTACTTACAAAATTAATTGGTTCTGGAAGAAATTTCTTAAAATTTTGTAAGTACAGACGCGTTTTCCATGTAAATGCCCTAATCCGTTCCAAGCACCCCCAAAATTCAGTCATAAATGTTTCCTGAAGCATAAAAATGCATCAAAATATGTAACCAATACTTGTTACAATTAGATTATTGCACAAATGAGAGTTGGGCATAATGTAAAAATAAATAAATAAATAAAATAAAAAAATATATTTTCCTGTTGAGGCGTTTCGTAACTTGAAAATTTCGTATAAAGAGACGTTCGTAAGTAGAGGTACCACTGTAATCATGTTTAGGTTTTATAGTTTTTAAGTTTTACCATGATTTGTGGCCAAAAATGCAATAAATCAAAGTACATTACATTATTATTTATTGAACCAATGTTGAGTACCCAAGAAGCACATCAAATGCAAAAATCCGCTGTTTTGCTCACAAAGTGATGTAACAAATGTGGTAGACGAACAACCATGAATCCCCAAGTGGCATACAGTTAATAAATGTTTTGCAGGCTGTGAAGTAAATAATACCTCATCCAGAGGAACATTGTGGATTGGCGTCCCATTGATTTCGAGGATCCTGTCTCCCACATGGATGGAATTTTTCACATCTGGACTAATGCAGTCAGTATCCACCCTGGGGAAAAGGATCCGGGACAAAAAACAAAGGGGAATTACTCACTCTTTGATCTCTTCTCCCATATTTCTGGCACTGTTAAATATCTTTTCTTAATTCCGTCATCATGCATTGCTCGCCCTTCGCTTTCTCAAAACCATGGCCTTGGAGACTCACTGAGAGACCCTGACGGTGCGTCCGAGTTCCGGACTGCAGTCTTCATTCGGGCTGTGCGACTGGTCGATAGCCACTGAGAAGCCCCTTCCCCGGCGACCGTTGGCGCCCTCGGCGGAGGCGGGGATCGACACCAGCGTGACCGTGTGAGGGATCTGTGAGCATGGTGAGTCCGGCAGCGACACGGGAGTGACGATGGTCTCGTAGTAACAGTGACCACTGGAAGGAGGGCGGAGAAACATGGAGAGATATTGAATTCCTAATCATGATTGACTCACTGTTTAATTTTGAATGCACATGTATTGTACTGCTTCTTTCACATCACTTCCTCTGAAGACCAAAAACGGTTCAGTTTGTCATTGAAACCACTGAGTGAGTGGTTTTGTTTTTTAAAACCTAAGATTGATGACAGCCATACTTACAGTGAGCACTATTTGACACGCATACCGAAAGCCTTCCAAAGCATATTAAAGATTTGGTCAAACTGCAAGACCAATCGCTGCCATATCCAAATTGTGTCCAGATGACTCATGCAGATTGGTTTAGTGTTTTCAAACACCACTAATCACCCAAAAACACTTGAAATTGCGTTTTTAATGGATTTCAAGACTTTCTGTGGCTTCCAAAGAAACGTCTTTTGTAACTGTTCCTGCTTTGAGCGTGATTAACAAGATTTTGCTCAAGCTGTAATTTTGCAGCTCATAAAAAAATTGAATTTATTTTCTCTTTGGTCTACTGCTCATCATTTGTGTGTGTGTGTGTGTGTGTTTTTAGTGCACTTCAAACGGCTCAGAGATTTTTTTTGTCATTTTATTAGATTTTAGTTTGTCATGGCAGAAGCCAAAATAAACTAGGAAGACAACCACTATCTACACCTTGAGTTGCATCGTAAGTAATCTACAAATCTAATAGACAGTCAAATTTGTGTTTAATCGGGTTAGTATGCATGTCGTGGCATTTATCGCAAAGCCTCTTTCACTTTTACCCCGGAGCCATCATTTGAACCCTTATTTCCTGAACTGCGATGCAGATGTCCTAAAAATGATTCCACCCCGCAGCACTTTTCAAAAGTCAGATCTCACCAGTAGAGTTTGGATCGCTCCACCAGAGCGTATGTGTCACCATCACCGATGAACGTCCTGCAATTGAGACAGGTGAAGCATTCGGGGTGATACTTTTGCTCCCCTGCGACCTGTGAAAGAAAAACAAAATGTAATGTTAGGCGAGTAAAGCCTTTTCCCGCACCCAGGAAGCAACATAAGGTCTGTGACTCGTGTGGGAAGTCGGGCAAGATCTGGTACATTAGGTTTACTGCTGCCAGATCGCCTCTTGGGCTTCAAGCGGTTGCGCAAAAAGCAAGAAAATTGAGTTAGGGCCAAAAACAGAGGCGGCGATGAGCACATCAATCAACTTCTGCAGATTTCATTTGTTGACAGAAATGAAATTACCTCACTAAATATGAGATAATTAACATAACATACATATGTATAAGACTCACATGTTACGCTGCGTTGTCCCAAATTTAACTTTACACCTTCAATCTAAGCTTGTGACAGTCATTTACTGGACAAAAACACATCTTGACCTTTTTTTTTTTTTTTTTTTTTTAATTTTGTCCAGTTCATGCAAAAGCGTTCAATAGATAGCACATGCCATGATTGAACATTATGATGGCTTTCATTTACTCCCAGTGTCAGAGACAAACTTGAATTAAGTCTCAAATTCATTTCATGAGCTATAATTAACATTGTATTCTCTAAAAGGGTAGGCCATTTCTTGATTGACCTTGAGGTTAATTAACCGCACAATCAGTAACACAGCCGATACTACGAATGTTCGATATCGCTTTTGCTCATTACATTATTCACTGGTATCAGCAGAATTCAGGAGTATCTGATACCCTTGAAATAAGGCTGGTATCCCAGCTGCTCATCCTTTTTTCCTTTTTTTTTAAATTTTTTTTTTTTATGAAGCTGGCAACAATACTTAACAATTGTGCACATGTACCTACAGATGCGGCTATGCGCGATCGGGGAAAGTACTCTGTAAGGTGTGCAAAACATCTAAAAAGCATCGCTAAAGAGTCACTTTTTTAAAAGACCAACTGACACAGAACGAAAAGGGAGAAACCCGAGACAAAGAGGGGGGAAACATGGACAGCATCAGTCCAATTCGAATCAATTAAATCAGTGTCCACGGCCACATGCCTCCTGCCCCACCCTCTTGGGAGAGCAGCACTGACAACAGAAACACACACGAAGAGATGGCAGGAGCAATACTCTGCTCAAGCATATTAGTCATAGCTGAATTTGAACAAAAGAATTAAGACCTCTTAGGAAAATCTACATTTTAACATGGGAGCCATAAGCAGTTCATTTATGATACCATCGGTCCATTTGTTGGATGCAAAAGCACCATCTCACACAATGAAGATATTTTGAAGGAAAGAAGAAGCAGTATAATTGACGCATGTAATGCAAAGGAAATTTACTATTGCGTGACCCGTTGAATAGAAGTACTTTATTACTGGATAACTAATCAAATGAGGGGTTCAGGAAATGAACGTAATGTCAATATCTCTGTTGGGATGGAAACCTGACCCGCACGCGCGTGTTTGTGTGTGCGTGTGTGTGTGTGTGTGTGTGTGTGTGTGTGTGCACTGCCAAATAGGAAACAGGAAGAAGAGAGGACAGCTGGACAGGGATGAAAAGGGTGTGTGGCTCTGTACAATATGACACCGCAGCTGCTATTTGCTTAAACACACACACACACACACACACACACACACACACGCACACACACACACACACACACACACGCACACACACACACACACACGAAAGCACGAGCCCGCACACACACTCAAACCACATATGACAGACGACAGCTGGGGTCATTATGATAAGGAAACACATCCACCCCAAGGTGGCAATTATAAAGGTGGAAGATATTAATGCTAGAGAAAAATACGAGGAGAATGAAGCTGTTGTAACACATCCAAATGGAAGCCATTACTGCTCGTGTGGTGTGGCGACCATGTGACTGTTGACCAAACAACTCACATGTATAAACCATCGCATCACATTTTTACTAAATGAGATAGTGTGCGGTCTGTGTTCAGGCTGCTGTAGTCTATCAACTGCGTATGAGCTCATCGTGGTTTGGCAAACTCTGAACAAATGTCTCCCCCACGGGAGAAGGCCCAACTGTTTGGTGCATTCAAGGGAAAGCTTATTTCGCAACACAGTCTTCTATTTCTATGGCTGCGGGGTTTCAGGTCACGGGACATGATGATTTAGTTGTTTTGCTTCTTCCAGTTTCGACGTCTGCCAGCCCTCAAAAGCCAGCATGTCTGACTTGGTGGTTTGTGTACCTTTTATCATATTTCTCTCTGTTGGAAATATTGAACTGTAAGTCAGCGGTACACAGGCACCCTGCTTTCTGCTTATTGCAAAATGGTTAATGTCACAATCAAGTGGCAATGATAATGAAAGAACGATGGAATGTGCATTGGAAAGAGAGCCATGTTTTTAGTCTTCATTCAATCCAAAATCGGAAAATGGATGAATGGATGTTTACATGGAATATTATGCCTCCTAGTGGCCAAGGTGTGCACATCACAAAGAGCAGCACAGTTGATTGAAGTGTGAAATCAATATTCTATGAAATCATGTAACGTTCTAAAAAAGTGCTATACTTTCTATTGCTTTTTCAACTTCTGTTTGTTTTATTTTTTGATGTTTTTGGGGGGGGCTGGAACAGATTAATGGCTTTTTCATTCTTTTAAATAGAAAAAGATAATTTGAGATACGAGTGTTGCATTTCAAGCATTGTCGCAGTAGGATTCCAACCCGTAAATCAAGGCATCAATTGTTCAAGTAACTCAAAATTGTTTTCAAATTCTAAATAACCGTTTAGTCTTTCATCTATCCGCTTCTAACAACAAGGAGTATGTAGGAATAGTTATTACGATTGTATAATTGTCAATGTTCCTGTTGTATTATTGTTATTTTGTGCTAAATGTTCTGGAAAGCGCGATATAAATAAAGATGCATTGTCTTGTCAACAACTAATAGGTTTTATCATGGGCAATACTTAGAGCAGGAAACAGATTATTTCTATCGGCATGATTTACTCAAGGAAATGTTTATTCTAAATTTTGGCGGTAAGGGCTTTCATAACAGATGATATTCAGAAACAATGACTGCAGGAAGTCTGTGAAAGTCCACTCAATCTCTAGACATGCCTGTGCTCAAAACTTATTCTTTTGATTAATATCGAAATTGGTTCACACAATTACATTCACTATGACATCACTTTCAAATTAGCAAACAGAGATGAGGTGGGCTTAGTGTGCATGAGGTTTTTTGTTTTTTTTACTGACTTGACCTTTGTCTGTGGAATGTGCACTGACACTTTTCAGACAGTCTGTCTAATGTCCTACTCCGAATCATGACCAACACGTGAGTACAACTATGTCAAGAGGTGCTTGACATCTCCTTACAATTCATCACCAGTGCTGATATTCATTGAGTGAATGCCCGCCTGGACAATCTGCTTCCTGCTGAGGTTCAACATTTGCAGGTGAAAAAAACACTAAATAAGATTAGAAGAAGAAATGAACGTGGCCCTCCATTAGCACCAGTCAGACAGTCTGGCTGGGTATGGAGGACAACGATCTCATATCAGCAGCGGACGCTATGTTTCTCAGTGGGTTCAACAAATTAAACGTGGATCTGGCTTTGCTTTAACTCAGTGTAATGAACTTGACATTATTTCGGAAAATACAAGGAGTTTAAAGAGCCACAGAGAAGACAGTGGGCTACATTGATGCTCAGAATGGAAACCGCCAACAGTACAGCAGCACAGCACACAGATTTGTCCAGGCCTTTACAGACCCTGGTAATGTAGTTAGCCCTTTGCGTCTATCTGTAGAAATCACACCCACTGTAGTACACAGGAATTATGGGCTGGAAAGGCAGAAGTCCTGGTTAACGATTAATAAATTATCATACAACCGGGACATTCATTCTCTCTAAAAATAGTGCTTATGGCTCATCAGTTTTACATGAAGAAAAAGCCTTGAGCGCCTCTCAAAAAAGAGGAGACCTCTGGAATTACACAGCATCCAAGTGACCCAGATTGAAATGACACATATTCTGCAGCTACGCGGTTATCGGCTTCAAATTTAAAAGGGGAGAAAAGATGGAGCGAAGTCCACGCAGCGGCCGGCAAACCATGTCAACCACTTGCCTTCTCCTGGCTCATGCGTACTCACAGCATACATCATCAGCATCAGCATCCGAACTCCCACTCACCTTCTTGTCCCTTTTCCATAGCCTAAGACAGCAGAAGCTCCAGAAAAACAAGTCTCCCACCATGTCAGCCACCAACAGCCGGCGTCTCTGTTCTGTTCTAGTGCATTCTAAAGAGCCCCCACACACACACACACACACACGCACACACACTTATGTCATCAGCAAATGCTATTCTCACTTTCGATCGCCCACTTCGGCACATTGTGACCACAACAGAGTGACTCATGTTGAAATGTAAAAACAAAAATCATGTGGCATTTGTTGTGGGAAATTACAGATTATTTTTTATTACAACCTAGTCTTACTTTATACAGTATCATGACAAGCAAATCCTGATATTGAAACTGTCTGCATTTTGGTTGATCGATCGCCCACTTCGGCACATTGTGACCACAACAGAGTGACTCATGTTGAAATGTAAAAACAAAAATCATGTGGCATTTGTTGTGGGAAATTACAGATTATTTTTTATTACAACCTAGTCTTACTTTATACAGTATCATGACAAGCAAATCCTGATATTGAAACTGTCTGCATTTTAGATCAAATGATACATTCAAAAAAAAAATGTATCATTCATTGATGAGTTCATCTGCAACCCAAGTGAGTATTAGCGGCTCAGGTAATGGATGAATGGTAAGTTGATCGTTATCCACGTTAATGTAATCAAATGCCCAATGCTTACTCTTAGATACAGTTCTCAACGTTATACTAAGCCATTCCAATGTCATTTTGCTGCTGGGTATGTGATGCCAATTGTTGTTATGCCTTGTTTTATCCTGTATTTTCTGTGCAATACAATTTCAGCCTTTAAAAAGATAAAAGGCAGCAGTGATCAACAATTCTGAAAGGGCTATTAGGTCCAAAAAGGAGC